AACATCATTGCAGAGCAGAGTTCAAACCTACGGTACCGGTCCTTGAATCTATGCGATTAGATGCGTACAAAAGACAGGCTCTGTTCCGCGCTGGTGGAATGCATGCGAAAACAGTTGAAGCTGAGACTGGTGTCAAGGTAAGGGCTCATGTAAAGTGTTATTAATCTCTAATTTCATCTCCATCTTAAGATCACTCACGAAGACGATGCTCACATCAGTTTATTCGCTCCCAACAAACAACGTCTTGAAGATGCCAAAGCACTTATTGCAGAGTATTATTCAAGTCTCATCAATATTTCTAATAGCAAATGTTCTATGAGACAATTTAAGGTTGCTTTCCGAGACTGACGAAGTAACGTTCGCCTTTGGACAAATGGTTTCTGCTGAGGTAGTTGAACTGCAAGAACGAGGTGCTCTGTTACAACTACCCGGTGTGGGTCGACCTGTCTTTGTACCTAACTCTCAACTACATGCGCTACCTATTCGACATTCATCTGCTAGCGGGCTTCAGGTATTGTGTGGTTACCACAGTTACTTCGTTCTTGTCTCTTCTCAGGCTTGAATCAGATCTTTGAGCTGTACGACCACAAGGACTTATTTCCATAAGCTATGTGATAGTAAGTCTACAAAAGCTCAGCTTGGGACCAGCTCGTTACTTAGGGGTGATCCTAAGTATTGATTGTGCCAGCTCTCGTACTATAGCAGGCAAAACGGTGTCGCGCGCACTTTGGATCGTTTTCATAGTCAGCGTTTGGAGAATCAGAGTCAACAAAATCAATACAAACCTGATTTTTTTCCCGCTGATTGTCTGATTCTCGCGAAGCGCTAACAACGCACGCGTCCAAAATCCCGAGTTCCGTGAGCTAATCACGCTTGTCCGCACCTTTTGTTCTCATTTCCTCAGCGCCTCCATCACAGCAGCATATCTACAGCAAAAACCGCTCAAGTACGCCTTGCCCAGAAAAGCATTGCAGCAATCCTCAGATTGAGGGCTGCCAAAAATTCGCTTTCATTATAACGTGGGCACTTGACGGAGGTCACTTATTTTCGCCTGATTTTTTGTGGTTTTTTAAAAGCTGTTTTGGTTATGAGTTCTCCGGAATTTGTTTTTGTAAGACCTTTCCTTCACATCGTGTGATTCATGCACAGAGGCAAAGGGTGATGCTTACCGCGCGACGGTGTGAGGATCCAGTCCTCAATCGTACGCCGTTGACACCATTTTTAGGCCTTATACCTCTAGTGGCCACAGCGAATTGTTGTGAAACTTGTT